ACCTGGCACTACAAAGGAGGTTAGGCCTGTTTCCAGCATCTACTTCTGCTGCCCAGTAACAAGAGATTGTTGCTTCCTGTAGCTAACTCTGCACATTCATTTCACGAAAGTGTTTGGGGCCATTATTCACAGGTGTGTATTTATTTCCAAATGAAAAATTGAAGTTATATTCTCTATTTTCTTTGCCACTCTTCCTCATCCCCAACACACACACACACACACACACACACACACACACACACCTCTTACCCTTTACTCGCCCTCAGTAACATTCACACATTCATGATTTTTTCTTACAATGTACTTTAAAACCAAGAGCAAGAGATAAACTTGAGACTTAGCCAAAGACAAGAACACCCCACAAAAATAGTACAGCAGAACTGATTTTTTTTCCTAATTGGCAACCAAGAGGAGAACTTGGGCAACGTAGTTTCATAAGAATGTCTAATCTCATCTCAACTTATTCAGTTTCAACAAAATTAGGTGCATAAGCTTAGGCTTGCCATGGCACTAAATGAAAAGGGCTAATTCCTTTTTTGAAAATGAACAGAAGATGTTCACGTGTTTTTGGATGTACAGAATAGATGCTACAGGCAGCTAGGAAGGGCAGTGGATAGTGCGCCAGGCCTGAAGGCAGGAAGACCTGAGTTCAAATCCAGCCTTAGACAGTTACTAGTTGTATGACCCTGGGCAAGTCACTTAAAGCTGTTTACCTCAGTTTCCTCATCTGTAAAATAAGCTGGAGAAGGAAAAGGCAAACCACTCCAGTATCTTTGCCAAGAAAACCCCATGGGGGCACAGAGAGTCAGACATGACTGGAAATGATTCAACAACGAAGAACAGGTGCAATAGGTAATGTCTCTTGCTGCCCTAGAATGAAAGCATAGAGAAGGCAGAAAACATCCCAAAAGATAGTGGGCATAGTGCTTAGTACACTAGAAACAGTCAATAAACAGAAAACAGTGACCACATCCCAACACTAAGTTCTCAGAGCCTTTCTTAGGAAGTCACCTTTGTAATGATTGCCTGTATAAAGAAAATATGACCCCAAATAATCAGTGTCTACAGTTCTTTACTCACGGAATATCCTTGAAGCAAAATAAGAAAAAGTATAGACAGCTTGAAATACTGCAACTCCCAGTTTATATTCCTGTTACTAGTGACTCATAAGATCATAAAATTCAGACCTGGAAAGAACCTTAGAGATTGTCTGATCCAACCTCATCTCTTTTTACTGGTAAGGAAACCGAAGTCCTGTAAGGGAAATGACTGATAGGGAAGAGTGATGTTTATCCTTCATTCTCAAAGAGGAGCAATGACAACAGGAAAGTGATGTCATAACTTGCAAGTGAATTGGATTTAAGTGAGGAAGAGCTGTGCCTCACTCTTCTCCAGAGTTCTGGGAGTCCAGTGGCAAGACATAGGTTAGGATGGCTGGTGATGGCCCAGGATACAGTGGAAGACCTTGGCCATTTTAAGCTAAGGTCTTTCCCAGATCTCAGTTTATCTGAGACAACACCCATTCAGTGATTAAGGCTAGCTAATAATTGAGGCAAAAGATGGCCTAGTTTGCCTTCACAAAAGAACTATTCTGGGAGGGGAAGACCCTCAGAGTTTCCAGGAAGGAGGGATAACATGAGATTCAAATTCAGTTCCTCTGACCTCCAAACCCAGGGTTTTAATGTGGGTGCTCAGTTAGGACTGATTCAAGACCACAAAGCATTACACTAGGATTTATGCACACCATGACACCCTTGGAGCTATCACACTTCTAAAGACTACCCCTTTCCTTCCATCTCCTAAAAACATCTTCCAAAGAAAGGACTGAAGTGCTTTCCAAAACTATTTGGGAGTAGGAGTAAAATACCAACTGCACAGACCATGGTGTCTGTCTGACACCTCCTACCACCACAGGTATCCTTGTATATACACATATACACACACACATACACACATATGAAATCTATTTTTGAAGAATTCTAAAGACAAACATCCAAAGGCTTCTGAAGATTTATCTTAAAAAAAAAAAAAAAACTGTGGGCTGGCCAGCTACAGTTTTACAGAAACGGAAGCCAATACTAACAAGAAGTATGAATTGCTGATGTCAGACACAAAAATGTTGAAAATAACAAAGTGGGCAGAGAAACACCTGTCTTTTTGGTAGCCAACCAGGGATCCTGCTGCCTGCAAATCAGAGTTCCTGCCAAACTAGGGATCGGCGTCTCATAACAAGCTAGAGAAACATGAGTATTATTTGGTGGGGGGTTTTGGTCAACTGAATCTACTGGGAAGTTCTGAAATGTTTACAGATATTAAATTTTCATGCCCCATGTCTTTCAAGGATGGAGAAATACCATAGAAACAGGCTTGTTCTTAGCACTTCCCACCACAACCCAAAAAATATTTCTTCCAGAAAGCCAGATTGGGGGTATGAGCTTAACTGTTTAGAGGCCTTACATTTTAGAGGAGGATGAGAAAAGGAGAAAAGTAAGCAGAAGCACTGCAGGATGAAGGAGTGAAGATGGATGTGTTCATATGAGCGTCCACATTGGTGTTAAGATTGTGAATACATGTATGCATATTCTGTGTACAAAAATAAAAATGATGTCATGGACGGAGAGCCAGCCTTCATGATCAGGAAGACATAGGTTCTAGTCCTAACTCTGACATATACTGGGCAGGTCATTTAACTTCTAATTCTCTCAGGCAACTTCCTAAGATTATACAGTGCTAAGAAAATGCTGGTCGGCATTGTTAGAGGAAGTCTTCACCCTATATTGATGAAATGAATGGCTTAATTTTTTAAAGTCATATTAATAAGAACCAGCAAAAGAAAAGAGAGAGGAGAATATGCAAGCTTGATGGAGGGAAGAAATATGAAAGACGAATAAGTTTGAGAGAGTTCCTGCCCCGACTATCAAAATCATAAGAAAGGACAACATCTGCTTCCCAAGTGTTAAATGATGCTCTAATCAGTTGCCCTAAATTACATGTTATATATAGGTAAATATATGACTACAGCATGCAACTGGGCAGTAGAACTACAACTATGGTAAGGCAATCAGAGCCTTGTCCTAGGGCAGAAGTATCAAACATACTGTCCCGTTGTCTTCAACCAGATTAAAATGTAATTGTGAAACATTTAACAAAATAAATAAAAATACAATAGAACCTAATGTTAATACATGGTTTTCTAAATCATTACGTGGCCAGCAGGGATCTTTATGTGTCCTTTGGTGGCCCATATCTATTTGAGTTTGACACTACTGCCCTGGGTACCAAAAATGAGAGAGCACTGACATTCTTTCAGCAACAAAGAAGCACATGAATTTAATACCTACTTAGTAATATTAAGTCATTAAAATATGAACTATCAGATGGTATCCTTCCTCCCCAGTAGCAGCCTTTATGTATGCCTGGGTTTCAGTCTATGGGGGCCAGAGTCACAAAATCTCTCTCCCTCTTCTCTTACCCACCCCCTTCCTCCACACTGACAGGTTAGGGTACCAGGGTCTCTCCTTACACAGGGACTTACATCCCAGGTTCTCTGAGTAACCCTCTACCCTCAAATGAATTTATCTAGAGTTTATTTGAGAGTAGATTTCATGCTGCTAGACCAGGGTGACAAAATTGTTAGTTACAACTCTGCTCTATATCTAATACTTCTGAAACCTACATTAGCTAAAACATGGGTTATCATTCTGTTTCATTCTACAGTACTTTTTTTGTCAAATACACATGTTGGGAGTTGATTACAATAATTCTCATCACATCATAACCATTAAGAGAAGAAAAACACTTTTCTGAATTGAGAAAAAATTCTTTCAAATCTACAGCAAATTATATATTCTTCTTAAAGATTCCTGAGCAAACAATGGATCACATAGCAGCCCACCAAGTTTAAATCTATCATCTACTTTGATCTTCATTAAAACTTTACAAAAAAAAAACTAGAATGTTTAAGAGGGGTACACAATTGCTAATATACAATTAAGTAATGATAATTTGTACTGTGAAATGTTTCTGAATATTTTCTACCTTAAAAGGTTCTATTCTGAATCAGGTACATAACTAAGCATATTTAGGATTTTGGTGGGATTTTACTTTACCAATTTATTAACTAAATATTTATTAAGGGCCTTTTAAAAATAGAATACTCTGTTAAGCCCTGGGTGAGATACAAAGCTGAGATAAACCAGTGGGCCTCACCTCATTGAGTTTCTAGTCTAGTAGGAGGGTATAATACATACACAAAAAGTGTAATACATAATAAGTACATAAAAGAGGTATAAACAAAGCCCTCCATCAGTTTAGGGTATGGGGAGAGGGAACAGGGAGGAAGAGCGTTGTCATTAATGGCTTGTAATAATGGAATCAGCAAAGGAATTATGATTAGTTTGTTTTGCAATCTATTTAACAAATAACTTTTTTTAACATCGTGAACAACGCTGAATAAATTGACAAAGTCCCAAAGAGGTCTGACTGAATATTTTCAGAAGCATTGTCTCACCCCAAAAGAAATACTTTACCCAGAATCCAGCATGAAAGTTGAAGAACTGTATATATTAGTTGTAAAAGTTTAGCATACTCTCCAGAAACCAGACCCTAATATGATTAAGATCCTAAAGTGCTGCTTAGCGTGGCTACAGATGGGATAGAGGAAGAGGAAGAGGGGGACAGGAACACACACACACCAGTGATAGCTCACACAGGCTGTCAGGAGGTTGAGGAGAAAGAGCTCCATGACCCGATAAGCTTAAGAACCTCAGTTCTTCCTGAGCACTTCTCCAATAAAGGACAGAAATACCTTGGTCACACTTGGCTTTATGCTTTACTAGAGTCCCAGTATACCCAAACTTCTATTCGCACCCAGTGTTCCCACCTGTCTCACCGAAGTTCCTGAGCATCTAAGCTCGTCCTTTAGGAGCATACATGCTGGCTGAAGAATCCACTGCCTGGTGATGGTGAAAGTTCCCCAAAGTACAAAATGGTCATCATACCTGCTTTCGTCCCCGGGGCAAAGTGGCCACTGTTTCTGCCAGCATTTGAATCCTTTTATTATCCACTTGTGGGTTACCTGTGGGAGTAGAGTAGAAGCTATAAGCTGGGCCCGTATCCACCAAATTGTTGTTCTGCTGGATAGGCCTTTGGAAAGACATTGTGCATAAAGGTCACTCCAGCTCACACATTGCTTAGCCTTGCCGGCCAGGGAGAACTAAAAGCATAACCTTCTTGACAAGCAATCAAAAGTAGCAAAGCGGAAAGAGTCCCATGTGACTTCTGTGGTTGGAGGTGCTTGTTACACAGATCCCTTTTCGCAGATCACTCACATTTCTCAGTGCCTTTTTTTTAAGCCCATGGGAGAGCTGAGAGGTAGTTTTTGCAATTAAAGAAAATCAGCTTATTTTTTTCACTCTTGGCAACGGCCAGAACTCTTATGCTTTCATGTGCTGTGACAGTTTGTGTTCAAAATACCATCTGCTTTTTTTTTTTTAGTGGAGGTGGGGGGGAAACTTTCCCAAGTTTAATTTGCTAAATGCTGTCACGTTTTTTCTCAACCCATTCCCTAGACCTCTCCCCACACCAAGTACACACACATAGACACATACTTCATATTAGCAAACTTCAAAATGTGTGGTCATGAAGCCCTGAGAGTATCGGTGAGAAGTGCAGGTACTGGTCATGATGTTCTCTCTCTCTTTCTCTCTCTCTCTCTCTCTCTCTCTCTCTCTCTCTCTCTCTCTCTCTCTCTCTCTCTTTCTCTCTCCCTCTCTCTATCTCTCTCTTCCCTGTAATGTACTTCCCTCATATTATACTAGTCCATCAATGCTCATCAAAGACTCATTATACCTTCCACTTAGATTGTAACCATTCATCAGTCTTTTTGTTATGCTTCTCCTTTATCTGAACAGAAATATTTATCTTAATACAAGGCAGTGAACTAGAAAGGCCCAATTTGGTAGCAGGGTCAACTCCCATCAGCAGATTTCTCTATTCCCCAGAGTCAGCAGGTGTCCAGGACCCAGGGCCTTGGCAGCAGACAAATAGGATGGCTGAAGTGTATGGTCAGTTGGTCTAGGGATAGACGGAATGACAGAAGAACCAATGCAGGAAACAGAGTTTGACTATGAGGTTTTTTTAGTTTTGTTTTGTTTTAACTCTTAGAGGATGTAGAATGGAGTAATTTGGTTGAGTGGCAGAGAGAAATAAAGGGGTCTTCAAGCAATGGCTAAATGATCACTTGGTGGGGATGTAATATGAAATTAGATAAGTATGTAAAGTGCTTTCCAAGTCTAAAGGGAGACATAAATGTGAGTTACTACCATTACAGGGACTTTCTGACAAGTACGAGTTGAAATACATGATCTCTAAAATTCCTTCCAATACTGAGATTCCATGATTCAATTCTGTGATTCTATGAAACAAAAATCAAACATGGAGGAGGAATCTGGTTTAGTAGAAAAACCACTGGACCAGGAGTCAAGAGAGAACTGTGTTCTTGTACTATTTGTCACTAACTAACTATGGCACATTGGGTAAGTAATATAAACTCTCTGGATCTCAGTTTTCTCATCTGTAATATGTGGAAGTTTGAGCTGGAAAATGACTACAGCTCCTTCCAAACCTAAAATTCAATAAGTCAATAAGACTAAATATGAATTTCAAGGTTACCTTGAAGGCTATTCATAGAATTCAAATAGCATAACACTTTTTTGAACTGATACTGAGTCCAAATACACTTAATTCAAGAGCAATTCAGTCTTAACAGAGCTTGCCAAATAAAAACAGTAAAATCTTGAGTTGGCCTTTTTTCAAAAAAAAATGTGTGCCAATGCAGCTACAAAAGAACACTTTTACAATATAGTTCCTTATTCCATGTGTAGGAGGTGCCTCCAGGTGCCGCTGTCCCAACCTTTTAGGAGCCTACTTAAGTTTCCATAGTTAGCATGAGTAGCAGCATCACCAAGAATGGTGACTGGATTATACTATGAGTCTCCAAACTATAACAAATACTTATATTCTAGAAATGATAACACCATTTACAATTGATAATATGGATATAGCTTTCGGACTGGAAGGGACCACCTCCAGGAAGCCACCTGATGCAAACTCCTCGTTTTACAGATGAGGAAACTGAGCCCTAAGGATGTTAAGTGACTTGTTCAGAGGCAAGTAGTGCAGGTACAGGAAGTAGGCATCAGAAACTTGATGTAGGTGAATGTAGGTCCTCTGAATTCAGAGACCATTTAATCCAATTACAGATGAGAAAACTGAGGCCCAGCAAGGTTGACTCACTTGCCCACAATCACATAGGTAGTAAATAGTAGGGCCAGCATTTAAATCCACCTTAAGAGTTCTCTGACACCTAGTCCAACATGCTTTCCTGTGGAACACAATACTTTATGGGTGTTAGCCCTATACCCAACACTAGCCTTATAAATAAAGTCTCACTGTTACAAATCTTTTCTTCAAAAATTTGACCCTAAAATATATAAAGTCCTAAACATTTCCAGTCAGGAAAAGAAATACTATTCCATTATGCCAAGAAAAACCTAACTGTAGAAATTGTCTAAGTTTCGAGCCAAATTGTGTCCAAAATGACAGCAATCTTGCCTCCATGATGTGGCTACACTACAAAGGGCTGACTTCAGTTGACAGAAGAGATACTTACCTATGTGCAGAGCTGGGCCAGGGCACTTGTGGACCTTAGGCAAGGTTTAAAAATTGTGCGGCTGGACTATGTTACTATCCACCTGTGGCTTTATGCTTTTTCTGTAATATAGTCAATTGGGGTTATCACAAAATAAATAACTGCATAGCCTGGAGAGTGGAATGTTCCCATATTAAAGATATGAAAGTTTACTTTTCTTGTTTGTTTGTTACATGTACACTCACTTATCAGCCAGGTGGCACAGCGGATAGAGCACCAGGCCTGGGTCTGATATACCTGAATTCAAATATAGCCTCAAATGCTTACTAGCTGTGGGAACCTGGACAAGTCCCTTAACTCCATTTGCCTCAGTTTCCTCATATGGAAAATGAGCTACAGAAGGAAATGGCAAACTAGTCCCCTACCTTTGCCAAAAGAACCCCAAACGGGGCCACAAAGGGTTGGACATGACTGAAATGACTGAACACATGCCTATCAAAAGTAATATTGGAAAGTGTCCCTTAATTCACCCTTTCTCCCTACACCCCCATTTCTCCTTCACCACTCCCTACACTATGTTCTCAGTAAGTCTGCCTACATTGACTCCTCTGCCTACTCTACATGGCATGATTTGAAGAACACTGAGGAAAGAACTTTTGGCCTCCACCAGAACTAGCAGGGTGTCTGAAATTCCACCAATGGGAATTAAGGTCAAGCCCTGCTCAGGAAAATGTTAAGACTCCTGGAAGGAGTAACACTTTCAGTCATGACCTGGTTTTTGAGAACTGGGGCCCTGGAGGAATAAAAACCCCACCAGGAATCTTTAGTAGAGATGTTGGATAAGTTCAGGGCATCAACAACTTCCTCGAAAATGAAGACCCAGGAAGGGTGCCTCACTTAGGTAGTTAGGAGTGGAAGGTGACCCTGGAGGAGAAAACTGACAAAAAACAAAACATGACAAAGGAGAAGTGAGGGTAGGGTAGGGCCCTAAAGGCAAACTTAACTGACATCACTGTTTGCAAAGGGTTATCTCTAAGATTACTTAAGGAACCATACAAAAGGAAATGACTTCAAGGAGAATGACTTCTTGTGCAAAGTCTGATGCCCCAGATTACCAATTTCCTAGTGGTATCCCAAACCACTGAACTAATAGGATATGACACATAGAACAGCTAGTGAGGAGGAGATTGGCAAAGAAGCTTTAGAATCAACATGGAAAAGTTTAGGATCACCCTTAATACAATTCTTTTCCTTTTCTAGAAGAAGTCATGAGATAAGGGTGAAAAGCCAAGAGCATGAACAGTTCCTCTATGTTTTGATGCAGACTTCTTGTGTGGTTAATCATGTTTGTTTAATTAAGGTTTTGGAGGGTCATCTGCACATAAAAATATTTAATAAACCTGGTTGCCTGAGGTGAAATAAAAGGCTTGTAAAACTGGAACATAAAGTACTTGCAAAATGCAAATCTATCTCACTTAATAGGTGTCTTTAATCAAGGCAGACTTTTCTTAAACAGCTTGTGTAAGACAAGTATAAACAGAGACCTAATTCAGAAATTCAATAAATTGATGTAATTGTGACCATTAGTGCTCTCACCGGTCTTAAGCTAGGACACACACATTTACAATAGGAAAGTGGATTCAATTTCAGATTAAACACAAAATATATAAGAATCAGTGCCAATAGTAAAAATAAGTCTCTTCTGCTCTGTTATTGGTACAAGCATAAGAAAACACTATAGTGGATTCTCAAGCATCTTAATTTGCCCAAGTCAAAGAAGGATGAGTGGTTGATGTTGTCAGAGGGAAAGGGGTTGGAAGTAAAGCAACAGTGGGATCTCAAATTGCATATTCTCAGATCTCTTCTTAAATTTATAATAAGTAGAAAATCTTGTTCTGTCCACTTCATGAACTTCTAGTTGAATGAAATAATTATTAACCGTTTCCTTTATTTTATTTACTTCTGTGCCTACATCAGTTTTTGGAAAGAGTTCTCTGTGTGTATGTATGTGGGTGTGTGAGAGCAAAAGAGGAGAGAGATATCTATAAAAATATTCATGTCTAGAGTGAGTAGGAGTATTTTTGACTTTGGAGTCTATCAGTAAAGGTGTTAACCTCAGAGATACAATGAGCTAGTGTACTTGCCTGAGGATGTCTATATATAAAGAGTCTTGAAGTATAGTGAAGAGTTTCATATTGCAAATGAGACATATCCTATAGAAGCATAGTTACCTTACAGCTTGGTAGAGAGTAGTAAATGACCAAAGGATTACAGAATCTCAGAAATGGAAAGAAACTCAATGGTCATCTAGCCCAGAACTCCTACCTGAACAGAAATCTCCTCTACAATATCACCCAATAAATGATTACCTAACCTCTGATTGAAAATCTTCAGTGATAGAAAACACACTACTTTCAGAGAAGTCCATTCCACTTTAGGGCAACTCTAATAATTTAAAAATTATTTCTTGTGTTCAACTTGAATCTGCCTCTAAGTAGGTCCTGGCAGTTTCTCCCAGTTTTGCTCTCTGGATTAAGACAGAACAAAATTAATTACTTTTTCATATGACAGTCT